GACTTGTCGAACGTGACGTCCTGAGACAGGAAGACACGGCGTGAGGTGGGGTGGTAAAACTGCCAACCAAGCGCGTCAGGGACAAAGGCAAGGAAGACACAGGGAACAGCGCGGGCAGAGAGCTTGTCCGCGATACCACCGCGGACAAAGGCATGAGCACCCCAGACCCGAAAACGCGACGCATCGCCAACCTTCCCCGTCCACAGCAGTGTGGGCGAGGTCTCTGGCAAGGAGACACGGGGCCAGAGGTTAAGCTGATGCACGGCGTACCGGACCGCAAACGGCCACAGAAAATGGGGGGCAGCCGCATGGATCATGGAGGTATGAGCAACCTCCATGACTAAGCCAATGCGGCGCTCAGCAACCCCATTCTGCTGCGGAGAGGCCGGAAGCGTGAAGGTCTGGTGGATGCCGTGCTCCTCACAGTAGGCTCGCAAGAGGTCGGAGGAGAACTCACCACCTTTGTCAGAGTGCAGACGCAGGTTAGGAAAGTCCGACTGGAGCCGCTTGCGGAGCTGGAGACGAACAGCGCGGATCCAGGGGATCAAAACATCAGGGACCTCCCCCTTGCGCTGTAAGGGGAAGACCGTGGTGTAACGCGTGTAGTCGTCGACCAGCAGGAAGTACCGCTCGTGGCCCTGTCCACAGACGCGGGCTGGGCCCCACACGTCCAGGTGGAGAGTCTGCAGGGGAGCCTCTGTGGGAGGGAACGAGGAGGAGTGAGGAGCGATGCGCTGCCGCCCCTCGACACGGGGAAGACAGGGAGGAGCAGGTGAGGGTGGGAGGGGAGGGAGAACCCTGGGAAGACCAGAGACAAGGACACGGCGGTGCATGCTAGGAAGGCGCTGCACCAAGGGGTGACCAAGGCGGTGGTGCCAAAGGAGGGTCTGGTGCGACAAAGCGCGACACGAGCAGGGGGCCGCTAGCTGACCTGACGCAGACGGAGACGCAGCGACCTGAGGGGACAAAGTAGTCAGTGTGTACAGACTCGAGCCAGGCTCACGGGTAAACGTGGCCAGGTGCTGGCCAGTCCGAGAGCACGTACAGTGCGTCACGCGCTGACCTCCAGGAGTGAACTAGTCAACCCACTGGTCCTGGAGGTCAGCACCACTCACCAAGTTCGTAGAGAAGGAGGGGAGGTGAAGACCTGACAAGGAGCTAGACGGGACCGCCGGACACGGCAGGACTATGGAGAAGTGCGCAAGGACTGGACCCCCAGAGGGGTCTGCCAGGGAGACTGCAACTGGCCGGCTGAGCGGCGTGAGGGTGGTGCTGTCGCGAAAGAAGGAGCGGGAAGCACCTGAGTCAAGTGTGAAGGTGTACAAGGCCTCAGCAGGCGCAGTACCAGAGAGAGTAGACTCACCAGCACCTGGAGTAGCAGCCTCACCAGTACTTAGAGCAGGAGACGCACTAGCACCTAGAGCAGCAGCCTCACCAGCACCTAGAGCAGCAGGCTCTATACCTGGGTCAGGCGGTACGCATAGGTAACAGGCACGGTTAGCACTAGTAGGCAATGCATACATGGCAGTGAGAATAGCATCATAGTCAAGAGCAAAGATATCTACCGTCCGTCCAAGCAGCTCCACCCAGGTGGGGAGCTCATCCTCGTCGCCAAACTCGGTACGCTAGGCGTCACTCAGATGGGGGAAGCAGCGGGACTATGTGTTACCAAGTGTCCCGCAAGCCTGACCAGTCCGATCACCTGTGCGAATGACGTACGGGCAGCGAATGGTACTCGAAGACCCTCTACTCCGAGTGTACCACTCGCGAACCTGCTGGGGCGTAAGTGTCTCGCGCGGACGTCACTGCAGCTGCAGCTGGCCACTGCGAGATGCTCCCGACTGACCAGCTCCAGGTCGACAGCCACGATAGCTACCGCCACAACCCCAACTAGGGTACCACTCACGAAGCTGCTGAGGCATGAGAGACTCGCGCGGACGTCGCTGGAGCTGCATCTGGCCACCGCCAGTAGCAGCAGTAGCAGTAGTAGCCGCAGTAGCAGCAGTAACAGCAGTAGCAGCAGTAACAGCAGTAGCAGCAGTAGCAGCGCGGCCACCCCTACAACCCCAACTAGTGTACCACTCACGAAGCTGCTGGGGCGTGAGGGACTCACGCGGACGTCGCTGGAGCTACATCTGGCCACCGCTAGTAGCAGCAGTAGCAATAGTAGTAGCAGTAGTCGCAGCAGCAGCGCGGGCAGGGCAGGCGCGGCACGCAGGCAGGCAAACAGGCAGGCAGAGGGCGCGACAGCGTACGAACAAGGCAGGTGCTCACCAGTGGCGGGCAGGGCCGGCGCTCGGCGGGGCCGCAACAGCGGCTGCAGAGTAGGGCCGTGGCAGCTGCAGGGCGGGGTCGCGCCAGCAACAGGTCGGGGCCCGCGTCAGCTGCAGGGCTGGCGGGGCCGCGTCGGTGTCGAGGCGGGGCCGCGTCGGCGGCAGGGCGCGGCCGCGACAGCTGCAGGGCGGGGTCGCGCCAGCGGCAGGTCGGGGCCATGTCAGCTGCAGGGCTGGCGGGGCTGCGTCAGCGTCCGGGGCACGGCCGCGTTAGAGGCAGAGCGGGGCCGCGTCGGCGGCAGGGCGCGGCCGCGTCAGCTGCAGGGCTGGCGGGGCCGCGTCGGAAGTAGGGCGCGGCCGCGTCAGAGGCTGGGCGGGGCCGCGTCAGCGGCAGGGCGGGCCACGACCGCGGCCTGACGGGGCCGCAACCGGGACCTGGCGGGGCTGCGTCGGCGGCAGGGCAGGGCCGCGACCGCGGCAGGGCGGGGCCGTGTCAGTGGCAAAGCGGGCCGCGACCGCGGCCTGACGGGGCCGCGACAGCGATCTGGCAGGGCCACGTCGACGGCAGGGCGGGGCCGCGACCGCGGCAGGGCGGGGCCACGTCAGCGGCAGGGCGGGCCCGCGACCGCGGCAGAGCGGGGCCGCGACAGCGGCAGGGCGGGGCCGCGTCAGCGACCTGGCGGGGCGGCGCTCTGGCCTGACGGGCCTGCAAAGGCAGCTCGCGGGCCTGACGGGCCTGCAGGGGCGGCTCGTGGGCCTGACGGGCCTGCAGGGGCGGCACGAGGGCCTTACTAGCCTGTAGGGGCGGCGCGCTGGCCTAAACCAACAGCGCGAGGGCTGCAGGACGGCGCGCGCAGCGCAGCACGTCTCAAGGCAAGGCAGGCAGGCAGGCAGGCGCAGGACAACACGTGGGGTAGCGCGGTAACCGCAATGGTAGGTGGGCCCGAAAAAAGACGGTCCACGGACCTAGTGCTCTGAAACCATGTTAGAATCTAGCAGCAGGAAAAATGAATGCACTATGGAAGAGTAGGGTACAAGTATGAAACCCTAAACAGGGTTGTAACCCATATTGGCTACCCCACTACAGCCTACACATATATAGCATGCATATACTTTGACAGTACATACGCGTCACAATCGATTGGGACACTTTATTTGAGAAAGTGTCCAGCGCAGAATGCACCCTGAGATTAACTATAACATGCATGCATCGAGTTTATATAGGAAATATATGAGAATACGAAACGACCAAGACTAGCCATGTACTCTAAGGGGTACATTCCCTTATTGCAGCGAATAAACCGTGCAGCACGGGAACTCGTTTCAAACATATTCCCGCTCTTTTCATTTCAAATGTTTCTGCCTGCATCGGTCTTGGTCAGACAGTTGCTACGTCGCCTCGACTCTTCTGACTCATCGACTTTGTACTCGGTAGAGTCGGCTCCTGCAGCATGCTGGAATGCCTTCTCATACAACTTCATATCGTAACAAGTTTCATGTCAAGATAGCTTTCTCACATAATGACGGATAATTGGAAGTACACATAATTGAAATATAAATCTTCATGTAATGGAGAAACATAAGTGTAATCAGATTTATCGGTCGCGTCCGCGTCCGGGGCAAGGCCGCGTCAGAGGCAGAGCTGTCAGAACATTATAGCTCATGCATATTGTGTAGGCTATAATGGGGTAGCCGATGAGGGGTACAACCCGAGTAGGGTTAGTACTTGTACCCAATTCATTCATAGTTCATTCATTCTCGTTTCTTCTCATGGTATCGAGCAGGTTCCCTAACGGGAACGATTCCTAGGGCCCACCACTACGAATTTTTTTTCCTGCCCGGAGCGCGCTCCGCTTAGGCCCGAGTCGCGCCTCGTGTGCTTTCCTTACCGTTGCGTCCTCGCTAGGCCCCTCACGGCCCCATCGCGTCGCCCTTAGCAGCCCCGAGCGGCCTCGTCGCGCTGCCCTAGCGGTCGCGTCGCGCCGCCCTAACGGCCACGTCGCGCCGCCAAAGCCGCCCTCACGGCCCCCTAGCGGCCTCTTGCGGCCTCGATCCGCCGCCCTTGCGGCCCCGATCCGCCGCCCTTCGTGGCCCGTCGCCGCTCTCCCCCTGCGGCCCCTCGCCGCCCTTTCACCAGCGGCCCCGTCGCCGCCCTTGCACGGCCCTGACGCCGCCCTCCCTGCGGCTCTATTGCCGCCCTCTTTAGCAGCCCGTCGCCGCCCTTCTCAGCGGCCCCGCCGTCTCCTTTCAGAGGCCCCGCCACTACCCCTGCAGCAGCCTCGTCGCCGCCCTTTCAGCGGCCCCGCCGCCTCCTTTAAGCGGCCCCGCCGCCTCCTCTCCGCGGCCCCGCCGCCTCCTCTCAGCGGCCCCGGACGCCGCCCTCTCAGCGGCCCTTCCGCCGCCTCCTTTGCAGCCCCGCCGAGCCGCCCAGAAGCAGAGCCGCCGAGCCGCCCAGCCGCCGAGCCGCCCAGCAGCCGAGCCGCCCTGCAGCCGAGCCGCCGAGCCGCCCAGCAGCCGAGCCGCCGAGCCGCCCAGCAGCCGAGCTGCCGAGCTGCCCAGCAGCCGAGCCGCCGAGACGCCCAGCTGCCGAGCCGCCTACCGCCCAGCTGCCGAGCCGCCAAGTCGCCCTGCAGCCGAGCCGCCCGAGCCGCCCTGTCTGGTAAGAGCAGCGCCTCTGTCACTGCACTGCCCTCACCCTACTGTTGGCGCTGCTAGTCTACTGCTGTCATGGCTACCCCTAGTGTCCTCGCTTTTGACGCTGAGGGTCGGGCCATTGACTTTGACGTCTGGATAGATGACCTGCAGCTTTTCTTACAGTACGATAGGGCGGACGGTCTCTCTCTCTTTCACGTCACCTCTGGTGCCTCTCCTGCCCCTGTTCCTGATGCTGACGCCACTGTCCGTTCACAGTTGGCCACGCGCGATGCTGCTGCACGTCTTGCTATGCGTCGCCACCTGCCTACCTCTGAGCGTGCGCACTTTAGCCAGTACAAGAGTGCTCAGACCTTGTACGACGCTGTAGTTGCACGCTACTCCTCCCCTGCCACTGCTGCACTGAGCCGCCTCATGCTACCGTACCTCTTCCCTGACCTTGCTGCCTTTCCCACAGTCGCTGACCTCATTACGCACCTCCGCACTAGTGACACTCGCTACCGCGCTGCGCTTCCTGCTGAGTTCTGCGCCAAGAACCCCCCCCCCATGTACATCACTCTCTTTTACATAGTCACCCGCCTCCCAAACTCCCTTCGCGTAGTCAGGGACCACTTTCTCTCAGTCTGTCCCACCACTCTCACTGTTGACCTCCTCGAGAAGGCCTTCCTAGCAGCGGAGAAGGGCATAGTTGCTGTAGGGGCCTCTCGTGGTGACCCGCGCACCCCCATCTTTGAGGGGTGTTCCCCCTCCCCTCTTTTGCCCTCTGTTGCCTCTGTTGCTGCCGCCAACCTCGTTGGTCTGGAGTCGGTCGGTGCGGCGTCTACCCCTAGTGGGAAGCGTCGCTCTGGCAAGGGCAAGGGGGGCAGGGGCGCTGGAGGAGCTAGCGGGGGCGGTGAAGGCGGCGGTGGAGGCAGTGGAGGGGGTGGGGGTTGTGGTGGGAGTGGAGGCGGGGGTGGAGGTGTCGGCGGCGGCAGTGGAGGCGGAGGCGGCAGCGGCGGTGGCGGTGGGAGCGGAGGTGGTGGAGGTGGCGGAGGTGGAGGAAGCGGTGGCGGAGGAGGAGGAGGAGGAGGTCGTGGCTCTTTGCAGAGGAGTGGCTCCGGTGGTGGTCAGCACCAGCAGCAGCAGCGCAGTCGGGAGACCCTGTCCCCTTAGCAGCTTCGTGAGTGGTACGCTGCACGCCAGCGGGGTGGGGGTACTGGTCCGTGCACCTACGTCCTGCGCACCGGCGACCGTGCGGGTGAGCAGTGTGGGAGTGCGCACCCTACCCAGCGCTGCTTTGGCCGCCTGACGGACGCTTGGCGTCACCAGTTCCCTGAGGCCACTGAGATCCCTCGCTGGGGCGAGCTGACTAGGGCAAGGGTAGCTATATTTGACCTTGACTTTGATGCTATTCTTGCTGCTACACACTGACCACTGCGTCTCCTCCAGTCCCTGCGTTTGGTCACGTAGCTGCGTCGGGTCAGGTGTTAGCTGTAGCGTCCAGGTCTGGTCCTGAGTCTGCCCCCTGCTCGTGTCGCCTCCTGTCTCACGAGACTCTCCTCTGGCACCACCGCCTTGGTCACCCCTCCCTGCTTCGTCTCCGAAGCATGGCCTCCCGTGTCCTTGTCTCTGGTCTTCCCCGGTCCCTCCCTCCCCTTCCTCCGGGGCGTGGCCCTACCTGCGTCCCCTATGTCGAGGGGCGGCAGCGGGCTACCCCTCACTCCTCCTAGTTTCCTCCGACAAAGGCCCCGTTGCAGACGCTTCACATGGACGTGTGGGGCCCAGCACGCGTCCGTGGATAGGGTCACGAGCGCTACTTCCTGCTGGTGGTTGACGACTACTCGCGTTACACCATAGTCTTCCCCTTGTGCAGCAAGGGTGATGTCACTAAGGTGTTGATCGACTGGATCCGCGCAGCTCGTCTCCAGCTCAGGCGGAGCTTCGGCTTGGTCTTTCCTGTTCTGCGTCTGCACTCTGACAGAGGCGGAGAGTTCTCCTCTGGCCTTCTGCGAGCCTACTGTCGTGCACGAGGCATCCGCCAGACCTTCACGCTTCCGGACTCTCCACAGCAAAATGGGATTGCTGAGCGCCGCATTGGCATGGTCATGGACGTCGCCCGTACGTCCATGATGCATGCGGCTGCCCCCCATTTTCTGTGGCCGTTTGCGGTTCGGTACGCGGCGCATCAGATCAACCTTCACCCCAGGGTCTCCATGCCGGAGACCTCCCCAGCTTTGCTGTGGACGGGGAAGGTTGGCGATGCGTCTGCGTTCCGTGTCTGGGGATCTCGGGCGTTTGTCCGCGACTTGTCTGCGGACAAGCTGTCCCCTCGTGCTGCTCCTTGCGTCTTCCTGGGTTTCCCCCCTGACGCGCCAGGGTGGCAGTTTTACCACCCCACCTCGCGCCGTGTTCTGTCCTCCCAAGACGTCACGTTCGACGAGTCGGTCCCCTACTACCGTCTCTTCCCCTACCGCACTCCGTCCCTCCCCCCGCCACCGCTCTTCCTTGTGCCAGGTCCCCCCCCGATAGACCCTCTCCCCCCTCAGGGTCCTGCCCCTTCAGGTGTGTCCTAGGTAGATGCTGTTGAGCCTATCAAGGTCGCTGGTGACTCTGGTGCTGCTGAGGGTGCTGAGCCTGGGGGTGCTGACTCTGGGGGTGCTGAGCGTGTGGGTGCTACGCCTAGGGGTGCTGAGCGTGAGGGTACTACGACTGGGGGTGCTGAGCCTGGGGGTGCTGAGTCTAGGGGTGCTGAGCCTGGGGGTGCTACGCCTGGGGGTGCTGAGCCTGGGGGTGCTGAGCCTGGGGGTGCTGAGCCTCGGGGTGCTGAGCCTGGGGGTGCTGAGCCTGGGGGTGCTACGCCTGGAGGTGCTGAGCCTGGGGTTGCAGAGCCTGAGGGAGCTGGGCCTGCTGGTGGTGTGCTTGGCGGTTCTCCGGGTGCTTCTTCTCGCCGGGAGCCACTCTCTCCACAGGAGCTGCGTGAGTGGTTTGCCCGGCGCTGGAGGCGAGCTGCTGGAGTTGGAGGTGCTGCGGGTACTGGAGGTTCTATTGCTGCTGAGGGAGCTGGTGCCACGGGGCCCGGAGGTGCTCGTACTGGGAGTACTGGAGCTGTTGGACCTGTGGGTACTTCTGGAGCTGGAGCTGCTGCGGGTGTTGGCGCGGAGGCTACTACTGTCGGTCCTGGAGGCGGTTCTGCTGGGGGTTCTACTCGTGCTGCTGGAGGTACTGGAGCTGGAGCTGCTACTGGTGCTGGTGCTGCCACTGGGGGTGCTGGTGCTGTCCCTGCTGTGTCTGGAGTCGCCGCGCGGCCTCGGCCGTACTTCGTTCCGCTCCTTCAGCAGGTTCTTGGTCTCCCATCTTCTACTGGTCCTCCTCCTCCCTTAGAGTGTCCACAGCCTGTCCCGTCGCAGTTACAGTTACATCCGACCTCCCCACTGCCTGCTCCGTCTCCCTACACTGGTCCTACTGGAGGTCTTGCTGAGCTTCGAGAGCCTGCGTCTCGCCCTGCGTCGCCTGTCCGTGCTGCTCGCACTAGTGGTCGCGGTTCGTGTCAGCGTCCTCCTCCTGTCCCTGGCACGCACCGGATGTCTCTGCGTCCATCCACTGCTCCTCTGTGTGCCCCTTTGATTTCTCCTCCTGAGTCTTCTCTTCCTGCTCTTGGCGACCCGGAGTCGGACTCTCTTCGTGCTACGAAACCTACTGTCACGCGTCTCCTTGCTACTGTTGTCACTGACCCTTCCTTTGCGTCCACTGCTGCGTCTGCCCTAGTTGCTGAGCTCGTCCACTTTGCTACTTGCTGTCGCCTAGACTACGCCGCCAGTCTTGTTGCTGAGTCTGAGTCTATCTGTCCTCCGTCCGTCGGGGGTGAGTGTGCCCTTGGCACGGATGTTCTTGAGGACAGGCAGGAGGAGTTCCAGTGCTTGGCCGCTGCTTCACCCCCACATCCTGCAGGTCCGCGCCACTCACCAAGTTCGTAGAGAACGAGGGAAGGTACAGACCAGACAGGGTGCCCGAAGGGGCAGCCGGACACGGGAGGACAGTGGAGAGGTGAGACAGGACAGGACCCCCAGAGGGGTCAGCAAGGGAGACTGCAACCGGCCGGTCGAGCGGCGTAAGGGTAGTGCGGTCTCGAAAGAAGGAGCGAGAAGCCCCGGAGTCAAGTGTGAAAGTGAGGGAGGACGAGGACGACGCAGTACCTGAGAGCGCAGTCTCACCAGTACCTGAGAGCGCAGACGCACTGGCACCTAGAGCAGCAGCCTCACAAGCACCTAGCGCAGCAGTACCAATGCCCGGGTCGGGCTGGAAACACCGGTAACCCTCATTCTCCTCACTATAAGTCACAGCATACATAGCAGCAAGGATAGCATCAAAATCAAGATCAAAGATCGCTACACCAGCCCTAAGAAGCTCATCCCAGCGAGGGATCTCAGTAGCCCCAGGGAACTGCTGACGCCAAGCGTCCGTCAGGCGGCCAAAGCAGCGCTGGGCAGCGTGGGCACCCCCACACTGCTCACCCGCGCGGTCGCCGGAACGAAGAACGTAGGTGCAGGGACCAGTACCCCCCACCCCTCTGACGCCCAGCGTACCACTCACGAAGCTGCTGAGGCGAAGGGATGTCCCGCGAGCGCTGCTGCTGCTGCCGCTGCGAGCGCTGGCCACCACCACCGCCGCTACGCTGCTGGGTACCACCCCGACCAGCTCCACCTCCTCCACCACCACTGCCTCCTCCGCTGCCGCCTCCACCGCCTCCACCTCCGCCGCCTCCACCTCCGCCGCTGCCTCCACCACCACCGCTGGCACGACTACCACCGTCTCCGCTGCTGCTGCCACCACCACCACCACCACCCCCGCCACTAGTCCCGCCGCCACCCCCACTCCCTCCGCCGCCACCGCCGCCACCGCCACCGCCCCCTCCAGCTCCACCCGCGCCCTTGCCCCCCTTGCCCTTGCTGGAGCGACGTCTCCCACTAGGGGCAGACGCCGCGCCGACCGACTCAAGACCAAGCAGGTCGGCAGCAGCAGCAGAGGCAACAGAGGGCAGCAAGGGGGAAGGAGAGCACCCCTCAAAGATGGGGGTGCGAGGGTCACCACGAGAAGCACCTACAGCAACTATGCTCTTCTCCGCTGCGAGGAGGGCCTTCTCGAGGAGGTCGACGGTGAGGGTGGTGGGACAGACTGCGAGAAAGTGGTCCCTGACGACGCGAAGGGAGTCAGGGAGGCGCGCGACTACGTAGTAGAGAGCGATGTACATGGGGGGGGGGTTCTTAGCGCAGAACTCAGCAGGAAGAGCGGCGCGGTAGCGAGTGTCACTAGTGCGGAGGTGCGTAATGAGATCAGCGACAGTGGGAAAGGCAGAGAGGTCAGGAAAGAGGTAGGGAAGCATGAGACGGCTCAGTGCAGCAGTGGCAGGGGAGGAGTAGCGCGCAACTACAGCGTCGTACAAGGTCTGAGCACTCTTGTACTGACTAAAGTGCGCACGCTCAGAGGTAGGGAGGTGGCGACGCACAGCAAGACGTGCAGCAGCATCGCGAGTGGCTCACTGAGAGCGGACAGTGGGATCAGCATCAGCAGCAGGAGCAGGAGAGGCGCCAGAGGTGAGGTCAAAGAGAGAAAGGCTGTCAGCCCTGTCGCACTGTAAGAACAGCTGCAGGTCGTCTAACCAGACCTCAAAATCAACGGCGCGACCCTCAGCGTCAAAAGCTAGGACACTAGGGGTAGCCATGACGACGACAGCGAAGCAGTGCAAGCAGTAGGGGAAGAGTACGCAGTGACAGTGCGACTGTGCTCACCAGACGGGGCAGGCCGGGAAACTCTGCAGAAGGGCGGCTCGGCGACTCAGTGACTCGGCTGCTGGGCGGCTCGGCTCCCGGGCGGCTCGGCGGCAGGGCGGCTCGGGTGCAGGGCGGCTCGGCGCCCGGGCGGCTCGGCGGCAGGGCGGCTCGGGTGCAGGGCGGCTCGGCGCCCGGGCGGCTCGGCGGCAGGGCGGCTCGGGTGCAGGGCGGCTCGGCTCCCGGGCTGCTCGGCGGCAGGGCGGCTCGGGTGCAGGGCGGCTCGGCTCCCGGGCGGTTCGGCGGCAGGGCAGCTCGGGTGCAAGACGGGGCCGGGACAGGGGACGGCGGGGCCGTCAGGGTGCAGCGGCGGGGCCGGCAGAGTGCAGCGGCGGGGCCGTGACAGGGGACGGCGGGGCCGTCAGGGTGCAGCGGCGGGGCCGGCAGGGTGCAGCGGCGGGGCCGGGACAGGGGACGGCGGGGCCGTAAGGGTGCAGCGGCGGGGCCGACTGGTGCAGTGGCGGGGCCGTGGTAGGGGACGGCG